TGAAATGTTTCCTGGTTTCTGAACCAAGCGCACGAACGTGCCTCCATCCCCAGCAGTTCCTGAGTCTGCTCTTCCCTCCTCACCAGCCTGGCAGGCACCAGAATGGAGGGTGGAGAGGAACAGCAGTGACAGGAGTGAGCCAGGCTGCCTCCTCAGCTGCCCTGTAGAACAGGGCAGGTGTGCACGGGAGGGGCAGGTGTGTGCATGAGCTGGTGAGGAGCGGGGCAGGTGTGCACAGACGCCCATGAGGAGACCACAGTGACTCTCAGAGAAGAGCAGAATGCGTGAAAGACTCTGGAGTAGGTGGGGAGAGGACGGAGAGGACCAGGCGGGGTTCGGAGGGCAGGGGCAGAGAAGCTGAGGAAGGGGAGATTTTGAGGCAGTAAGAAAGTCCGTGTAGCTCAGTAGTAGAGCGAGTGAGGCCCTAGGCTCAGTCCCAAGCACTGAGGAGAAGCTTGTTGGTACTTGTGCACAGTAGTAAGGGAGCTGAGGTTAGTACTGAGTGTTTCGTTGCAGGCGCTGCGCCGTGTGCTTCCTGTACATTTTCGGAGCGTAGTCCTCCATAACCCTGTCAGACGTACACTTGATCCTGGGCAGGCGTCAGCGGGGCCTCGCGCACTTGGTGCACTCACCGTCCAAGTGACTGCTCTTGTGGGGGCCCTGGCACGTCACCCAGCAAGGCAAGTGCAGGTTGCCGTGCCAGGTGAGTCACCCTGCACGCAGGAAGAGTGCTGCGGGCGGGGCACGGCCAGAGGTTTCGCTCGGAGGGCAGCACCTGCCCCTGCCTACAGCCAGGACCCCGTGCCCAGCAGCACGGATGGCAGCATAGCCTTCTCTGGGGTGAGAGAGGGGTGACCTGAGCGACCTGGAAGGTTGGGAAACTCCTGAACCCCAGGGCTGGTAAGAGCTAAACCCCTTCCAGCCAGGCCCCAGCGTGGCACTGGCAGAGCGAGGCTGGCGGACACCGAAGACGCGGGGTCCCTGACGGGTGGAAAGCAGTCTGCTGTGTGAACTCTTCGCGAGGGGGGCCCGTTTCTGGGACCAGCTTTGTTACGGGTTGAAGCCTTCCGTTCCACTCTGAACTGGAGGTTGAACCAAGGGCCCCAAGCTATATCCCCAGCCCTTCCTTGTTTTTATTTGGAGACAAGGTCTTGCTACCTTGCTCACTTGCCCCATTTGGGCTTGAATTTGTGAACCTCCTGCCTCAGCCTCCCAGAGTGCTGGGATAACAGGTGTGTGCACCACTCCTGGCTCTCCCTGTATGCTTGATGAGCTCCTTCGAGGGCTCCCTAAAGCTGCGGCTTGGTGTACTGAGATGGCGGAGGAGGCCACCACCAGGTAGGTGGGTCCCAGGGGAAGGCTGTGGGACAGCTCCTCATGACGAGGCCTGGCAGCCTGGCCTGACCTCAGTATTTTCACTGAAAGAGTATTGTAAGTGTAGTTTTAAAACAAGTGTCATGTTTTTGTCACACGACGAGTCATCTGCAAACTTGCTCTGCGTTGCTGGCTGGCAGGTCACTGCGGACTGTGTAGACATAATTTTTTGTTGGCTTTACAATCAACATGTGTGAAATATTTTGTTCATTATACTTTTGAGAAGAATGGACAGCATATTAACCTAATTATTTATGTAATGAGTTTCACATACAAATTGATGTTGACGTACTAGTTTAACTCAAAGTATCTTATTTCCAGGGCAGAGTCAGGAATCTCTTACTTTCTGGTCCAGTGAAATTTTGGAGAGCGTTTTGATCTGAGCAGCTTTGATAGGACTCGGAGCTTTTCCTGACTGTAAATCACAGATGTGAATCTCAGGTATCTCCGAGAAAAGGAGCAGCCCCAGATGAAGAGGCTTGGTCCGAGGTGTGTGCCGTGTGTGTTCCTTGGGCCTTGTTGTGGCTTGTTTTATGGAGCTCGACCTCTTAACAGCACAGCTTAATGACTTCCCGCAGCTCCTGGCTTGTGTTAACACTGACTGGGGGAGGGGTCAGGTTTCACAAGGTGGCTGTGGACTGTAAAAGCAGAAACAAAGTCCACAGAGGGAATAAACCGAGATTCACAGAGGACACACAGCAGTTTGTCATTTCGGTAAGTGCAAAGTGTTTTGATAATACCGGAAATCATTTGCAGTCTACAACTGTAGAAGGCTCTGCATTCATTGGGAAGGACACATTGATTTACTCAGTTTAATGTCCCGCTTGAAAAACAGATCAGAGCAGGGCAGGGCAGCTCTGGGGTGAGCACTTGCCTGGAAGCACAAAGCCTAGGTTCAGTGCCCAGCACTACACACACAAACAGCAGAAGTGAGGACTTGCTGGGAAACACAGTTTGAGGGCACATTCCACGTTGGCATGCCTTTCTAAAAGTTTTAAGTTTAGAGCCGGGCGTGGTAGCGCACACCTGTAATCCCAGCACTCGGGAGGCTGAAGCAGGAGGATCATTGTGAGTTCGAGACCAGCCTGGGCTACAAAGCGAGCTCAAGTCCAGCCTGAACTGCATAGAGAGACCCTGTCTCAAAAAAGACAAAAAAAATAAAAAAATAAAAAAAATAAAAATAAAAGTTTTAAGTTTGGATACAAAATTTCATTTTAAAGTTGAAAGCGGATTTTACTCAAAATACTATAATTTTCAATTGAGGGAGGAAATCAAGCAGGAGACGTCTGCCTGCAGTGTAAGGTGTTGCAAAAACTAAAAAGGCAGATTAAAGTTAAGGACCAGGGGTTTTGTCAGGCAAAATTTATTTAAGCTTATGTTAATTATCACTAGTTTTTCTTAATTATGCACTTTTGTAGGAAAAACTATAAGAGCGGAAAATTAAAACCCCCATACATAATCCTGCAGACCTGACCCAACTGCCTGTCTCCCTCTCACCTGTCTCCTGCCCTGCACCACTGCCTTAGCGGGTTTTGCCCTCTTCAGATAATTTGCTTGTGCACACTCAGCATGGAAAAGCAGCTGCAGTTTCTGTGCGTATAAGAGCTGCACGTGTCTGGTTTAGTAGAAAGTGGCAGAAGTTGTGAACCCTTCAGCACCCTGCCAGCGCTCAGGCCTCCCGAGAGCGCGTCTCCCCTGCTGACCGTGCCTGTGAGTGCGGTGGCTGCTGTGAGAAAAGCCCGAGGAGCTTAATGGCACTGAGGCCTGAGCCAGGAAACCTGGACGTGTGGGTGCGTGACGCTGCTGGCCCTGGCAGCTGACCTGACCGCTCCCTAACACAGAGCTCACAGGGTCCACTGAGTGTGGATGGCTCTGCGGCCGTCGTGTGCCAGCCTTCCAGTTACAGGGGCCAGAGACTTCAAAACACAGGTCCTGCCCTGTGTCTGCCTGCATCCTGCTGGGCCACTCCTGCCTCTCGGGCCCCCCTCAGCCCCTCCTCAGCCCCTCCCTCTGCTGTGCTTGCGCAGGCTCTTCACTGCTCTCTTTCTAGGTGCTTGACTTGGTGAGGTCAGAGTGTATGTGGGCAGCCTGGCACAGTGGTACAGTCCTGTAATCCCTGTACTCCAGGAGGCTGAGGCGGGAGGCTTGAGTAGCTTGGGCAAATAAGGGACTTCATAAGACCCTGTCTCAGAATAAAAAGTTTTTAAAAGGGGCTGGGGGTGGATGTAGCTCGGTGCGAAGGCCCTGGGCTGGATCCCTAATGGGGGGGGGGGTGCTTGGAACAAGCAAAACACTAACATTGCCATGAAACAAACTTGTTAAAAGTAGATTTAAAAACATTTGACATTAAGTCAGTGTTAAACTGAGATAGTTTAGTGCAGCTAACATCCTCTCCTGTGTGAAGGTGGGGTAGAAGCCGGGGCTTCTGAACCCCAGCAGGCAGGTGGAGGTGTGACTCTGCTGGCGACTTGGGATCTGACACCGCTCTGGCCCTGCTGGAAGCCAGGGCACTTCCGCTTACACTGAGCACAAGGCCGGCTTGGAGAGGAAGCCCACGACTGTCTTCCACAAAGCTTTCAGAATCCCAAACTTTACTCATAAAGGAGTTCACATAAGGTCCCTGGAAGTCAGTTTTGAGGATTCAGGCCACCACTTCACTGGCCAGGACCCTTGAGTAAGTTATTTAATTCTCCTGTGCCTCAGTTTCCTCCACTAAAAATTAGAAAAACAGTAGCTATGAGAATTAAATAAACTGCAATCTGTGACATAATGTGGTCCCTAGCAGTAAGGTGTGTGTTCAGCCTCTGATACCCGTCCTTGTTCAGCCGTCGCTGAGTGCCCCTCCCCTCCCCCTCAGGCAGCTCGTCCGAGCCGCACACAGGAGCGCATCTGTCCGGGGAGAAGCAAGGTGTCCTTTTCTGTGAGGTGTCTCAGGAGCCCCTCTGCATGTACTGCCCCACCCAGCCCCATCTTCCCTCTTTACACAGCCTTCTGGGCCTGGGCTCGAGACTGGTTTCCAGCCACCCAGTGTGGGTGTTGGCAGGCGCTGTGCCATCCGGACCCCTCTGCCCAGAAACGCCCAGCACTGCCTTCTCAAGCCAGCCTCGCTGCCCTCATCTGCGGCTTCCTGCGGCCACCCTCCTTCCTAGCTCGGGGAACGCAGGTGCGCATTGCCTGCCTCTGGGTGTCCCCTGGTGTCCTTGAGCTTGGGAAGTCCCATGTTTCTGCTGCATCTGATTCCCAGGAGATTCTTCAAAACCAAGTCCTGTAAGAGGTGTTTACCTGACTAGTTAGACTGCCTTACCCTCTCCTCTAGTACATAGCAACATTGAAGTTTGTATCATTCTGTGCAGTATTTTGTTCCATTTATGTTATGGTGATCTTTTCTCTGCAAACATGGTTTCTTGAGAAGTTGTTTAGAATTTAATTATGCAAAAGACCAGACTCCCTAAGCTGGCCCTGGCCCAATGGTGTTCCCACATTATTCTCTAAAGCATCTTTGTAGTGCTCAATTCAGGTTGCTCTTACATGTGAGCAGCTCAGTCTGGTAAAACTATCCAGCATAACATTATTTCTAAGTGTAGCTGCCATGTGCTCACCTAGATTTGCCAAATTTTATCCTGTAGCTATTTCTGCATTTGAAATTCAGCCAATTTCCACGGAGGTCCAGGAAGGGGGAGTTGCGAGGTTTGCATGCAAGATTTCATCAAATCCTCCTGCGGTGGTAACATGGGAGTTTAACCGGACAACTCTACCTCTGATGACGGACAGGTAAACGAGGTGCTTTTCCCTGGAGGCGGCATGGGAGGAATGCAGACTTCATATGAGGGTAGAGAGGAGAAAGACCACTCTTGGAGCTGATTTCATCTAGTCACCCTGCCTGACTGCGTGAGACACTGCAGACTTGGGCAGAGGGTGGCATCATCGCTGCCTGGCATGTGGGCATGATTCCTTGTCCAGTGCAGAATTCAGACAGATCGCCTTGCAGCACTGCTCTTTTCCTCCGCCTTCCTGCCCCTCTAGGCCCTTGTGAGTATTTGGATTTTGCAGCCAAGCTCTTAGGAAGCCAAGTGACACTTTCAGTGCTAGGAAGAACAGTGCCAGGGTAGGGGTGGCCATTGGCCTGCCCTGTGCCGGGCCTCCACTTCCCAACCCCTCACGCCGTGCACACGCACATGCACATGTACATTCACCCACGTGCACCCCTCACGCTCTGAGGGAGTTGAGGATTAGGGATCGAGAACTTGGAAGCAACTCCTAAAAGTTTGATTTCTGCTCTGATCCTCAGTAGGCAGAAAGCATTTGCTAAAATGTTAGAGCACTAAGATGGGAAAATTTATTCAAGGAAGTTCTTTATTAAAAATTTATATCCAAATATGTCTTGGAGAAATCATAGATGCTGATAAGTAAAAATGAAAGAGTTTGAAAATAAACCATACAAACTCTCAGCCATCCAATCTATACCATCAGATGAGACACTCTGTAGAATTACATTTACAGATTTCACACACCTACTGTGCAGAGTCAGTGATGTTTGAAAGATCTGTGGACCCACATGAAACCAATTGATCCAACTAATGTGCTTTTATTTTCGGGGTGCTGGGCTTTGAACCTGTTGTGAACACCACACAAGCACTGCTACTGGGCCACAGCCCAGCCCAGGCTGTGTCACATGGTCTCTGAACTATCGCTTCCCACCCTGGAGAAGGGGTGAAGTGTGTTCGTTCCTGACAGAGGTGGTGCTGAATAAACATGCGCTACCGGAAGTTGACTTCCACTTCTTCTTGTGACAGGATGGCTGCGCTGCCCACAGGAGTGCTGCAGATCTACGACGTGGGCCCGGGGGACATGGGCAGCTACCGCTGCGTGGCCACCACCATGGCCCACAGGCGCAGGAGTGCCGAGGCCACACTCACCGTCACCCCAGGTAGCCCAGGGGCCGGCGCCTCCAGGGTTGCCAGACTGCAGTAGCACACCCAGCATCATCTCTTCTGTTGCAGTAGTGTTCCTGGGGCAGTATTTTAATTTCATTTACCTTATCATAATCTGTTTGGAAAGTGGCCATTGTTGTGTAGTAAGCAACTGTTTGTTCCCAGGCTAACTTGTTTTATGTCAAGAAAGACTGAGTATTTGCTTTATAAATACTGCATTTTTGTTTTTTAAAATCATAAAATATACAAAGTACAAAAAAGAGGAAGTAATCTTCTCTTTCCTTGAAACTGTACATTGTCAGTGGTCCCAATATAAATTTTTTTCGTAAACCATGGAAAAAAGTTCAAAAATAAAAGCTTTAAAGTATCATCTCCAATACCAACATTCAGAAATCATCATTGACATTAAATGGACAAATGTTACTTATTTTGCCATGTATGAATGTAGCTAGAAGGGAAGCTAGGGACATGGATATGAAGAAAGACTTTGCAACTCATTAAAATAGAGTTGTATGTAGGTGCTAATTTTTACTTTAAAATAAATGTAGTGCTGGGGATATAGCTCAGCGGCACAGCGCCTGCCTGAAAAACACAACGCCATGAGTCTGATTCCCGGTACCACACACACACACAAAAAAATGTAAATGTAGAGAAAGAAAACCTGCACTAAAAACATTGGGTGTGGGGTTTTTTTGTTTGTTTGGTTGTTTGTTTTGTCTTTTTGAGACAGGGTTTCACTATGCAGTTCTAAATGGCCTTGAACTCAGTTTGTAGCGCAGGCTGGCCTCAAACTCACGGCAATCTTCCTGCCTCAGCCTCCCGAGTGCTAGGATTACAGGTGTGCACCACCATGCCTGGCCTACACACTGTTGATCATCACATGAATGTATGTTCTTGTAAGAGATATTACTTCCTAAAAGACCTTTTAAGGTTTTCAATATTTTGAAAACATTAAGGCTGAAGTTACTTTTGTAATGCCATGCTTTAATTTAATTTAGATTTTTAGAGGTCCTGGGCAGGTGCTTTCCACTGCACTGTGTGCCCGGGCTGCTTTCTTCTTGGGTAGTGTACGGAAGGTAGGGACAGAAGCTCACACTTCTGCCCCAGCCTCCCAGTTCCTACTAAGGTTGAGGAAAGCAACCTTAGTAAGGTTGACTAACATTGGAACGTCAATTAAAAGTGAACGGTAATAGCCATTCCAACAGGTGTGAAGCTTGATCTCTCGAGTGTGGAGGAAAAAGAACCAATATAACTGTTAGTAGGGTTGTAAGCTGATGGAGCTGCTGTGGAGATCAGTACAGAGGTGCCTCCAAAAATTAAAAGTCGGATGACTGTTTCACCCAGCAATCTCATCTCTGGGCATGTATGTCCCAAGAGGTGTCTGCACTGCCGCATCACTGCAGCATGCTCACGATAGCCAGGGTGTGGAGAAAACCTAATGGTCAGTGACAGGTGAGTGCATACAGAAGACGGAGTCTGTAATACAGTGAAATAACGTCCAACCATTAAAAAGAGAAAAGGTGCCATTTGAAATAGCATGGGTGGACATGAGGACATTAGGCTAAATTAAGTCAAAAAAGCCAGACAGAAAGACAAGCGCTGCGTAATTGTACTTTTACAAGGAGCCTAACATTGTCCAACTAGAAACAGAGTTCAGCAGTGTGCACAGGAGGTGTGGGGAGTCGTCAGGATGTCACACGAATCCGGTCTACGGTAGCAGGTCGTGTACAGCACAGGGCCTGCAGTTACCATACTACATTTTATAGCTTAAAAATGGCAAAGAGGATAGGTCTTATATCAGCTAGTCCTACTATGAAGATAACTACATTTTGAAATGCAGAGGAAAAAGTAAATAAAAGACAAAAAAATAGGATACTCTTTGGAGTGATGGATACATTTATGGCCTTAGTTATAGTAATAACCTTACAAGGGTATGTATATTTATCTCCAAACTCATAAGTTATATATATGAAATAAGTATAGCCTTCTGTGCATTAATCATATTTCAATAAAGTAGTTAAAAAGTAAATTATATGAAAATTACCTAGTGTCTATCCCTTGACGAATGGCTAGGTACAATGTCCTATCTGTGTTAAATATTATTCAGTTATTATTCATTAAAAAGGAAGAGCACAAAGGTTGGGCATAGTGGCACGTACCTGTAATCCCAGCACTC